CAGTGTCTCCTAGTGATCAGGACAAGCCCTCCACCTACAAAAGTGATATACCCTTTATCCCCCCTATCATAAGTCAACACCCATAACACTGAAAGTTCAATTCTCCTTGTTTTTCCTGATTCACTAGGCTGTAATCTGTTTGGGATTAGCAACAGGTTGTCATTTAGAGCTGACAAAGAACCATAACATACTTATTGCTGAACATCACAATATTGCACCACTTACCTATTTCAGAACATTATGTTTCTGCTCCATTTGTTCAATATGTGGTATTATACACTTTTGAAGTTCTTTTAACTATTTTTGGAAATGTACACTATGCACAATAACACATGTAATGATGCATCTGAGCTTAGGTAGAATTGGTCAACACTGTTTATATTTATCATAATTCAAACACAATTCACATAATATATTTAGAAAAATTTCTGAGCTTATTGTATCAACTAGTTTATGGTTTGACAATTTGCCACTACCACATGGTCACCCTTTTTTTTTTGTCAAAAAAGGAATTGCCTTGGAGGATTTAACTGAGCTAAGCCTATTCACCTTCCATTGTGTTCAGATAAGAGAAGCAATTGGTGTGACCATATGTATTGCATGCTCAAATATGCGATTATCTAGGTTATTTGGGCATGGTGATTCTCTAGATGTTTCTGGGGATGTAAGCATGACTGAACAAACAGGGAGTGAGAACTGGTCAAAACAGTTGACAGATGGAGCTACTGAATTATCTATCAGTATACAAAATAATATTTCTAAGCAACTGGAGTCAACACCAGATTCAGTAACTGAAAATGGCTTGGACAAGAAAGAGGAGGCTGATGTGAAAAGAATGGAAACGGTCCTTACTTTATGCTTCTCTCCAAACTGAAAATTCCACAATTCATTTGGCATGTTTCAAACTTATCTTGTTCTTGCTTCTTTTGCAGATTTTTCACTTCATAATTGCATCGCTGAAGTCTGGGAGATCATCTGTTCTACTGGATGTTATTATCGGACTCATCTACCCTGTTCTCTCATTACAGGTATACATCTTATGTTTACATGATGACATGATTTTTTTTTCTCGAAAATGCAGAACTGCGCCTCATTATATTAAGAAGAGAGAAAGGGGCTAGAGCCCTACAACACACCACACACGACCCACACCACTCAACACAACTCCCAACTCAGAAAACTCATTTGTTCTTTTCTCTGGTTTTCAAATCATTATTTAAGTAATGACTTGAGTCTTCCCTTTTCTTGTTGAAGGCTTGACAAACATGAAATTTCTTCCAAGTTGTGCCTTTTTGTATTAAGTGGTCTGAAAATTTTCACCATAGTTTTTGCTTGTCTACTATTCCCTCCGGGTTGATAATACTTGTCGTTTTGGACAAGGGCACGGTCTCTAAAAAAACAACTTTAACCATTATTTTCTATTATAATATATATAAAAGTGTTAACAAATATATGATCTTATTAAAGTATTTTTTAAGACCAATCTATACATATAGTCACCATATTTGAAAGAGAAATATTTTGAAAATGATTGATAATCAAAGATTCTAAAGTTTGACCTCACCCTTGTCCAAAACGACAAGTATTATCAACCCGGAGGGAGTAGAAGACATAAGCGTTTGAGAATCTTTGGATTATCATCTTTGTTTGGATATTTGTCTGAATTTAGTGACTCTAATAGATTAATAACAATAGGAGTTTTAACACTTTGGCTGAACTATCATGTATCTGTAGGAAACATCAAACAAAGATTTGTCATTGCTTGCGAAGTCAGCTTTTGAGTTGCTGAAGTGGCGTATTTTACAACGGCCTTTTCTTGAAACTGCTATTATGACTATTCTTTCTTCAGCCAATGATCCAAACTGGCGGACCAGATCTGCATTGTTATCATATCTCAGGACATTTACGTACAGGTTGAATTTCAGATCTTCTCTTGATTTGCTAGTGTATCAATTATTATGATAAATGTGTTGTCCGTAATTTATTTTGTTCTTCCCTAGTATTCCCTAGTATTGTGCTCAGTTATAGGAAGATGCCTTGATTGAATCTTACCATGATTTGTGAGTTGTTATTTACTAGAGTAAATTTATTGATAATCAAACTTGCCTTCCTGGATCTATGTCGCCGTAATGAGAAACTAGTTATTTAGTCATCAAAATTGTGTACGTCACTATGTTGTTCAAGTGAGGTAGGTCACTTTGTGGTTGCTGAGCATGGTGCTGATCTGGGACTAGGAACTGCACGGCCAACATGTGGCTGCCCCATTCCATGTAAATCCATTTATTACAAGATCCCCCAATCACCTTCTCGTCCTCCTATCCCATCCCTTTCTTTCCAGTCCACTGAGCAAAGCACCCCAAAGCCCTAGTTACCAAATGCCACAACCTGCAAAATGCCCATATGCTGCTTCAGTAGGGAGATTGATCCAGGAGGGTAAATCTTATTCTTTTTTTTTTTTTTAATCTAAAGGCAAGATATATAATCAGATTTCACGCTTTAGTATCCTTAGGAAGGGATGGGAAGGAGGGGAGAGGGTTTGATTGAGTAACAAAGTCAATTGCAGAGCAGTGTGACGTCCATATGAAACATGGTATCACAGATTACAAGGGTTAAGGATGGATATTTCAACAACTACATAAACAAACACAAAAGAAGATTTGCATTGGACAATGCCATTCCAGTTTGCCAGCTACAGCTACATCGCATTTGCTAAAATGATAGGTGGGTGAGAAAGGGCATTGTGAAGGACCCTTCACTAGCAACATCGCATATTTGGAAGTTTTTTTCCCCCACTAAGGTTGCCCCTAGGATATCCATCTTGTCCCTTGGATTTAGATTCTACATCTCATAGTGGATGGGTATCAAACCTCGTAGCTAAGAAATAGGGCATGTCCATGCTGCATATACTAGAAAAACCACCTAATCATGTCACTCGAATTACTTGTACCAGTTCCATGACTAAGTTTCTTAGTTTCTGAGTTCGCTGACCTCTATTTGAACCACTGACAAATTTGATGTCTCACTGCTGTCTTTTGCTCTTGACACTATATCCTCATCAAGGGCAGTAGGATGTAGAAACACATTTGCGCTCCTGTATTGCAGATCTGTAATATTTCTTTATTAAGTCAGCTGGCTTTTTGAGACTTATAGCTGATGGAAAATAAATGCATTATCTTTGTCGCAGGCATACATTCATTCTTTCCAGCTCAGAGAAATCACAAATTTGGCAAACAATTGAGAAGTTACTTGTGGATAGTCAAGTTGAGGCAAGTATATATGTTTATTTGGCCTGTACCGTACATACTTGTTTTTCTCTTGTAATATTCCTTCTAAAAAAATTGTCTCAGCCTTCTAATTTCTAGCCTTTAACTTTGCATTAGCACCCATATGAAAGCAATACTGTTCTTATTAAAGATGCTGTCAGTGAAGACTTATGCTGTCAACTGTATGAATTTTGTTGCTGTATTTCCAGGTTAGGGAACATGCTGCTGGTGTCCTTGCAAGCTTAATGAAGGGCATAGATAAAGACCTCTCTAAGGACTTTCGAGATCGGTCATATGCACAAGCTCAGCGTATCCTTCATACACGGCAAAGGTTAATTTTTTGCTGATTTTTATATTACTCTCTAGTCTCTTCATATCACTGATTTGTTAAAAAGATACTACATACTAGTATGTTTTATACCTGCTGCTTCTTGCAGAGGTGCAAAGTCAGGCCACTCTGTTGCTACTATCCATGGTGCAGTTCTTGCTTTGACGGCTTCAGTGCTTTCTGTTCCATACGACATGCCAAGGTACCTTCGTGACTTCAATCCTTGTCTTTTTCGTCTAAAGAGGACGATGTAGTTAGATTCTTCGTCAAATCACATCCTAGTGGCCTACTTCCAAATATGGTGGCTACTTTACTGTTCTGTTTGTTTTTAAACGGACTTTTCGTTGTCTTTGCAGCTGGCTTCCTAGTCATGTAACTCTGCTGGCACGCTTTATTCGTGAGCCCTCTCCCATAAAATCAACGGTCACAAAAGCCGTCGCCGAATTCAAGCGGACGCATGCTGACACATGGAGCATCCAGAAGGAGGCCTTCACGGAAGACGAATTGGAGGCAAGCTCAAAGCGGTTCCCTTTCAACCATCCTTTCTGATCACAACACAAGTTGACGCTCGCTCACATATTTGATCCTTTTGTGAATGCAGGTCCTCCGTGATACATCGTCCTCATCGTCATACTTTGCTTAGATATAAGGACCACAAGATTAATTTTCAAGTAAATTCATATAGAATATTTTGTATGGCTGATGAGATTGCCTCCATACTTGGTGGATCATATACATATAGTTACATCCTGTAGCTTCGGTTTTATTTCCACAGATAAAGGTTTTTCGTCGTACAAAGTCAGGCACGTAGTATATGTCGAATATGAGCTGAGATTATGAGATACAGTATGTTACAGTCAGGCACATTGCTTCTGCAGTTTCTTTCAGCAGCGGGTTCGAGTAGTTCACAATTAACTGCGGCTCGATGGATGCATACATTTTACTCACCCAGCCGGGTGCCCGGGTGCTGCTGATTGCAGTTGCAGTAAGTAATTCCGATAAGAGTACATGCGTCTTCTTCGTAACAAAATTTTCAATCTCTGCCACTGGCAACCCTTATCCAGTACACGCACAGCATCTGATTTCCTTTGATCCGGTACACGGCCGGCACATGGTATCAGTTGAGCAGCCAAAGTAAAATACATTGCTTTTATATAGTACAAGTACACACATGGTAGTGACTGCAAGTACGCTGTGTGCTAAACATACAGGCTTGTTTATTAAGGCCTGTTTAGTTCCCGAAGAACTTTTCACACGTATTAAATATATATAAAAAACTAATTACACAAATTACGTGTAAATTGCGAGACGAATCTTTTAAGCCTAATCGCGTCATGATTTGATAATGTAGTGCTACAGTAAACATTTGCTAATGATGGATTAATTAAGCTTAATAAATTTGTCTCGTAGTTTACAGACGAAATATGTAATTTGTTTTATTATTAGACTACGTTTAATACTATAAATGTGTGTCCGTATATCTGATGTGACACGCCAAAGTTTTTAATCCCTGAAACTAAACAGGGCCAACACTGCGTGGTAGAGTATATACAACAAGTAGTACATGCATGTTAGAGCCTGCAAGTACACTGCTTGTTAAGCATACAAGCTTGTTGTATATAGTGTATCATGAAACACCTGGTATACCATGGTCCTCGAGGTATCATGATACACCTGGTATCTCAAGGTATCATTTGGTACCTCGAGACATCATTCGGTATCCTCAAATTATCACCTACGGTACCCTTGAGGTATCATTTGGTACCCTCAAGATATCGCCCGTGGTCCTCGAGGTATCATGAGATACACTCGGTACCTCACGGTATCATTTGGTACGCTCGAGGTACCATGATACATATGATACCCTCGAGGTATCATCTAGTACGCTCAAAGTATCACCTACAGTATCCTCAAGGTAGTGCCCGTGGTCCTCGAGGTATCATGATACATATGGGTTATACATGGGGATTTTTTTAGGTATCAGGTATGTTATAGTGATACATTTAGTCTCTATGCTCTAGAAAGAGATATCAAGTGATTCAAATAAAAAAACACAAAGAAAGGAAAAGAATAGTGAAAAGAAAAAAAAAGGAAAAAAAATGTATGGTTGGGCCGTGGCCCAATACACAGGAGCGCAACAGCCCTACCGGGCCAGCTGGCCTATCCATGTACTCACTCTATCCTATAATATAAGACATGTACACATTCCAAGATTCAACTTTAAAAACATTTAACCAACAATTATTATAATATAAATTAAATTTTATTTGTTAAAATTATTATCATTGGATTGACATTTAAATTTACTTTAAGATGGTTATAAATTTGTTGCAATAAACCTTATAGTATATGAGAAATTTAAAGTCAAAGATTAGTTTTGAAGACTGTGCCAATGGTTGACCATGTGTTATATTATGGAATGGAGGGAGTACATATGTGCAAGTGTAGGAGTCCTTGTGGTCTAGCTAGCCACGTACCGACGTATGTATGTATAGGAGTCCTCGCTAAACGTGGTGGCTTGTGTGGATGGAAGCGTGCCATGCTAGACTGTCCCGTTGAAGAATGGTACACCGTTCTTTAATATTTCTATCTCAGCAAACCATTAATTCATCAACAGTGTGCCAACATGATGGTACTAGTTTTGCAGTTTTTATTAAATTAATAATACTTCACAAAAAAGGTCGTTCATTTTCTGGGTTACTAAAGATGTAACGAGCAAATTTCTTGTTAACTAGATCTGGCTTATGCCTTTTGTTAATCTCCTTTAGTCCACTGTAATAGTACCAATTTGAGTTCCCTTTCCTTAGCTTCACGGCTTGTTTGTTGAATACTATGTGATTGTCATAACCACCATGATGATTGGCATGCTCATGCCCATCTTCTGGATTGCCAAAGGTGTAATAATATGAAAATTTCTTCTTAGCTAGGTGAACATGATCATGTCCATGTGCGAGGTTGCCATAGATTGAACGTGAAAATTTGTTCTTAGCTAGCTTCAGCTTAGGCTTTTTGTCAATCCCATTCACTTCGCTGTGTTGGTATAAATCTGAAGTTTTCTTCTTTAGCTTCATGGCTTCATAGTTGAGTACCATGTATTTGTCATTGTGACCATCATAGTAAACATGACGGCTAACTGCTGGGTTGTCATAAATGTAACGTGGAAATTTCTTCGTAACTAGGCAAACATGATGATGTCCATCTGCTAGGTTGCCATAGATGTAGCGTGAAAGTTTCTTCTTAGCCATGTTCAGCTTAGATTCTTTGTCAATCCCATTTGCTTCACTGTGTTGGTACAAATCTGAGTTTTTCTTTTTTAGCTTCTTGGCTTTGTGGTTGAGTACCATGTATTTGTCATTGCGACCATCATAGTGAACAAGGTGGTCATTTGCTGGGTTGCCATAGACGTAACGTGAAGATTTCTTCTTCACTAGATTAAGCTCAGGCTTTTGGTCAATCCCCTTCACTGCACTGAACTGGTACAAATATGAGAATTCTTTCTTTAGCTTCATGGATTCAGTATTGAATACCATGTGATTATCATTGTGGCCATCATAGTCAACACGAACATGCCTGTCTGCTGGGTTGCTATAGATGTAACGCAACAATTTCATCTTATCTAGTAGAATATGATCATGACCATGTGATGGGTTGTTATTGTTGTGACGCGAAAGTTTCTTGTTGGCTAGGTCTAGCTCAGGTTTCTTGTTAATCTGATTTGTTCCACTGTACCAGTACATATCCAAGTTTTTCATCTTTATCTTCAGAGCTTCATACTCGAATAACATGTGCTTATCACTATCGCCATCATAGTAAACACGATCATACCCGTCTGCTGGGTTATTATAGTTGTATGGTGAAAATTTCTTCTTAGCTTGGTTGTCTAGCTTGGGATTCAATTTGAGTATTGAGCTCTTCTCATCAGCCCCCTTGGCTCCACTACCTGATGTAAGAAGGAGATTCTTCTTCTGGTTGCCTGTAGATACATGCACACGATGTCACAGTTCTTGCATTCGTTGATCATTATAAACTGAACTAGGAGTTGGTTATTTTCACCACTGATTTTAACTGTAAATGAAATCTTTATTCTTATGCGACATATAATCTTCCCCAAAGGTTGCTCATTCATGTACTGTTCTTGTCAAAACATATCTGACATTTGTCAGAATTTACATGGGAATCTTCCTTATTCTAATTCTACTACCTCCACCCCAAAATATAGGGGTAGTGTGGTGTAATCAGCCTCACATTTGTTACAAATTTATAAATAGTGCCATTTTACAGTTCGCAAATTAATATACAAAGTGCAGTACCATGGCACCTTTCAATTAAATACTATCACAAATAAATGATGTTTTGGGAAACAATATGATCATGCACCAAGGTATTAGTTTGATTATGAATAAATTAATAACTAGTATAAAACGTATAAAAATGAACCAAAGTATTTTGAAATTTTTTGAAGATAAAACTAGCCATACCATTTTCAAGTTGAATTGAAATATTCAAAGAGATATTGATGGTCAAAGTATATTGATTGCATGCATTACAAACATTACCCAACTAGTAGGTATTTAAATTCTATCTTTTTTTCTAGGGACGCAATTTGAAGATCGGATATATAATTTAAAATGCATATGCAGGCAGAGGCCTGGATTTTATTTTCAATTATTAAAACAACAGTTTCAAATGTTATGCTACATTTGCACAATCAACTATAAGGCAGTAAATTTATCTGCATCTTCATATACTGTTGATGAAATTGGCAAAATTCAACACTTGCAACCCCTGTACATACGTACTTGAAACATTAGTATTTTGTACGGGATTATATATAGACACTTAATTTTAGTGGACATTTTGGACTGTCAATGTCCAAGGCATATGTTTTGGTTACAGGAGAGATTACTTACTAAAACCTCATCAACTTTGTTTGATTTGAGTTATCACCTTATAAAAAATTTAATAAAACTTGAGCAAGTGAACGGTATTATTATATTGATCAAGTATAACTATATATTGTTAACTTTCCATGTTTATAGCATTAACTTCAAATAAAATATGCATTTGGTCATGCTGGTTTTGAGTGTGATTTTGGCTGTGTTGTACCACCTTGTAATTAAATTTGTACTCCCTCTGTTCCAAAAAGAATCTAATCCTAGAGTGAACATGTGTCTAGATTCATTATTAGGATTGTTTTTTTTAACAAAGCTAGGGGCCCAGCTTTTCAATTACACTAGAAAATGGCGCACCAGTTGGCGCGCTTATTAATTATAACCTGTATATAATACTTATAACTTATTTAGAATATATATTTGTTAGTTTTTGAGTTTTTCTACAATTTTCAATTTTATCAATTTTATCTGTTTTTAAAACTCATGGAAAATAGACTGTATATATTTTCTGGTTTATTTAGAACACAATAATTTCGCACAATTGTCAGAACGGCTAGTTCAATGCTCGTAAAATTTATTTAGGATAGAGAGTTTAGTTTTCTACTAACTTATCGAAGGTTAAAATATTTCCAAATATCATAAGGAAATTTGATGTATTTTGGTAAAGAAAATCACAAATCTGAATATTTTTTTCTATCTCTAGGGGGGTATGTGTAAACATCATAATTTACCCAATAGAGTTTCATATGCACACACCATAGCAAAATTTAGTTTGATATATGCACATGAATTACATAGCAAAATTACTTGTCCAACTTATAAAAAAAATAGCCTACTTGATAATAAGTTTTATCTTAGGGCCATTTATAAACACTCCAAACCGAGGGCCTATTTGTAAATTTAAATTTTTTAGAGGAAAAAGTTCAGAAAATTGTTTTGGTAGAACCGGACATGTTTTTTTTATCCTCTGCATAATTTTTACCTGGGGTGTGTAAAAATCATAATTTGCCCATTAGAGGTGCGTATGCATATCATTTAGCACAATTTTAGTTTGATATATGCACATGAATTATATAGAAAATTTTAATTTGATGCCCATTGCCTCATGCCAGAGCAAAATTTAAACTTGATAAAATTAGTTGCGAGCTACCTATCAAGCAAAAGGCACCCCTCTTGCTATTTTATTTTCTATCCACATTTCATTTTATTTCTCGTTTCAACGGGTGAAAACAATCTATCTATTATATTATAAAGATAGCTTGAAAATGATACGGTATTTGCTTTGATCGCATAGAAATTGTTACATTAATTAATATAAAAAGATAATAGTTGTATATACATAATATAATGATTGTATTTATATTAAATGTCACAAAACTACAATTATTTGGTTAAATCTAATCATGTTTTTAAAATATGTTACAAAATATATTGAACAAAAGCTAAGAATTGCAAATTTAATTCTATAATTAAAATATGTTGCACAAAACAATAATTGCAAAAATGAAGTACATGTAATCCTAGTGATATTTGCGTGGGACTTTCGTCGAGTTTGGGTAGAATCATAGTCGGTGATATTCGGTGCACCGTACTACCGTACTATGTAGGTTATTTGCTCAGTGAATCATAGTCGAAAATACTCATTATTTCTCATAGTTCTTGTTCTATGAGTGGTAGGGTGCACCATAATATTCAAAAAATGCTATCCACTTAGTATACTCATTCGTCAGAGTAGCTTGGACGTACCGTCAAGAGATAGAAGTGCTTGCTCAATCACATTGAGTTAGTGAAAAGACCACTTGGTTTGATGGTATGATTGATCTTCTACGTCCATTATAATTACCACATTGAATGTATATGTCAGATATACTTATAGATTCAACAAACTTCTAGTTCACGATAAGTCATCTTTAGTTAAAATTCGCACAAATAATTCCAATATATTTTATGCAATTCTATATATTTTACCGCAATATTAATTAAAAATAATAAAAGCATTACAAATAATCAATAATCATAAATGCCATAAATAAATTTTATAATCATGAATATATGAAATATAATTTCAGTGTATTTTGCAAATTTACAATGCCATTCAAACAAATATTCCAAATACAGAGGGCCATTTATGTATTTTCTAGAAATTTCAGGGTTTAAAACGCAAAGTTTCCAATGCAGAGGAATATGCGATTAATTTTTGGAAACCACAAGGGCCTTTTTGCAAAATCTATGGAGATTTTTTCCTTCTTCTCTACTTTCTTTCCTCCTTCCTTATCTTTCCTTCCTTCTTCTATTTACTTTTCTTTCCCCTTCCTCCACTGATGGCGCCAGCGGGTGCAGAGGCTGGACGGACGGCAACGGCGCGGTGGGTGCAGAGGCCGGTGAGGCGCTGCGGCCGGCCGTTGGCGTCGTGGCCGGGTGACGGAGAGGAGGAGGCCGTGTGGCGGCTCCGTGCGATTTGGAGGCCGGGACGGCGTGGTGGGGCTGGCTGCGGCCTCGGATGGAGGAGGCGGTGGCGACAGCTGCGGCCGCTCGCGCGCGCGGATCATGCAGCGGCGGCTTAGGCGCGTGGATCCGGTGGCGGCGGCTGCTCGGGCGCGCGGATCCGGGTATTCCCCCACACGGATCCTGAGTCGGCGGCGGCAGCGTAGTCTCACCTCCCCACGGTGGCGGCGTGCCCTCTCACTCCCTCTCCTTCCCGTCCCTTTCCCCTCTCTTCTCTATCGCCGGCAACTCCCACAGGCCGGATCCGGCGTAGGCGTCGGTGGCCCGGTTGCGGTGCCTTCCCCTCCACCAGATCCGGCGGCGAGAGGGGAGGCGGTGGCTGCCCGGTGGCGGGATGATTATTTAGATGTTCTTGTGTGATGTTTTAGTGAAAAATTTCTGTGATGTTTTTCAATGTTTCCTATGATGTTTTTTGGTTTGGGATTGGGATTGATTGATGCGGGGTGGATAAGGTCGATGCATCAGCTCGATTAGGAGAGGGGAATCTGTTGTTCTTGAGGATTTTTATTCAATGTGATTTCTTTATCTACTACTGAGTCCTGACTGTTCTAGATGAGGTCCATTGGATATTTTTTTTTCACCGTTGATATGACATCAGACGGCCACGGGAGGGGTGCGCATACGTGGCCGCTTCTCCAGCCGAGAATCCCGCTGGGGCTCGAAGCGTGGTGCCACGTGGCCCAATCACTGGGCAGGGTTAGAACCGTGCAATCGTATATAGAGATATGTAGGGGCAGACCTAGGTCCAAGGCAACATGGGTCATGGCCTGGCGCGGGTTCATAATCCAATGGGTCTAGCTAGGGACAGAATAGTATGGGCCAGCTTGGGCCTTAATTAGCCTATGCCTTGTCCGCCCCTATAACTATGATGAGATCATATGGCGGTATAATAATTGTGTGTGAAATAATGGTATATATATAGAGGGAGTGAAACTTGGAACACATACATCATTACAATCAACAGGTGACGATGTCGTTGCTGTAAAATTTACTCTACAAATTATGTGAAGTAATTGTTATATAAATTGACCAACATCGGTCGAGGAGCAGAGTGATCTAATATACTCCATGCATTTATTTTTGTAAGGTTTATTTTGATTCTATAAGAAATCAAATTTTGTAGATTTTGACCAATGTAAAGTTAGGAAACTCAAAAGTATATTTAATTAATGCATAAAATTAAACTAAACCATACGCTTTATTCATACAATTAATATTGGCTTTATGAGAAATTGATGGCTAAAGTTTGATCATGAAGACATTTTATAATTACTATATGTACATTTAAAGTAGTAAGTACTACTTCAACAAAGCATAGGAGTTAAACAAACATTTATAATATGAGTGAGGATTGAGTAAAGTAAAGTAAAGTATTTCTTGTATTGTACACCATCCCCGCAATCCAAACTACAAATTGCTATAAGTTGTATAGTACCACCTACACATTCGATGATTAATTATGCATCTCCTCTACTATTTTTATAAAAATAGTAGAATTTTCTTACGCCACATGTGTCCGATTTGGCCAACATTGTCTCCACTCGAAGCAATGAGAGTCTGCGTCCGATTCCTGCGTACATCGTGCAACGCCGCACGTTTGTTACCAATTTGCGTTGCCGGCATCCGATTGGCATTGATGTCTTCTCTGCGTAGCCCACTATATTTCCTTCCATATCTCGCATGATCTACGTTGCCGAGGGAGGCGACTTGACATGAGACGGGCTGGGCCTTCCTGCATCGACCGTGCCATGCATATAGATCGAATCCGTTTCAGTCCGAAGCAAGAGACTACGATGGAATATATTGACGTGCAATCCTTTCGCGCATTGGCAAATAAAAAGGGACGATGATGGGATAATAAACAACAAGACTTAACTGTCTATCTGTATAGGTTTTGCATGGATGCAAAAATCATAGCAAGGGCTCCTATTTTCATCAAGCAAATAATGGCCAACTCGTCGACCGACCTCGAGCTTCCTTTCTAGAGTAGGATATACTGCATATACTTAATATGTGATATTAACATTGCTTCAACCCATTACAACGCATGAGTATTTTCTCTAGTTACTATATAATTGTATCCCACTAATTAGCTTAAATATTTTATATGTCTTTCCACAGGCTTCGTAATGATCACTAAATCATACCCGTACAATTAGATTCATTAGTAAAATCATAGCTGTTTGATTAGATCTATATGTCAATCTCTATCTATATACTATTATAAAATTGGAGATGTTTCTGTTGGAATTTTGGTACGTTATCCTTGTTTGAGTTGGTTGTATGTCGTCCGTATCCAATTCGATGCGAATCTAGAATAACTATTATACACCCATATCCCATCCCAACCCAACCCTACCGGCCAACTCTATCCCGCGTGCCTCCAATCGGCGCCACACACGACCCTCCCTTGATCGGCATCTTTTTTTCTCTCCCTTTTATTTTTATTTTTCTCATTTTTTCTCCCGATAATCCTAATACTCTCCTTCTCCTTCTAATCTCGTCTCATTTATCTTTTTCTCTTCCAAATTTCCCTCCTCATAAATAGTTTCCTTTTGAATTTATCATTGTTTAAGGTGTGCATACGACAAGTTTGTTACTCTGCAAATGCTTTCCAACTATAGTAAAAAAATTATTAATTGAATAATCAAAATTTCAGTCTTTGATCGATGAGTATAGCAAAATGCACATGCGTCAACTTATGGAATGGCCACCCGATTGATTTGTGAAGCTATGGAAAGACGTACATAAGTGATTCTTCGTGTGATGACACATGAAGCACGCACAACCCGGTTGAATGCTATATATGGTTTCTGACTTTGTTTTGCTATTGATTTGTTTGTTTAATTTCGGTTTGTTGTTTAAATTGATCGAGTTTTATTAATCGTGAAAATTATTTTCACCTGTTGCAATGCACATGTATTTTTGCTAGTTATTTAAATGCCAGACCAGCCCGGACCAACTTCTACAAACAAATGAGTCCATCCAGACCAACAAAGTAAAATCAGCTATTGGCATGTGGCACAATATACTAGTATGCAGGGACTTAGACCATGTGCACTTTTTCCATATGAAGATGCTAGGGGGATGTGTTTGGTTGAAAGGAAATCCCTACATGGATATGACCATCCAACTTAACTATGTTTGGTTGATAGGAAGGACGAATCATGAATGAGACCGTTATAAGAGAGAATATTTCATGCAGATGCTGGATGAGCTATTTCGGAAATATTGGCCGGATGAGACCATCCACCTTTTCTAATCTTGACAATAATGATAATTAATATATTTTGTTGTTAAATAGTAATTAATTGTCAAGGTTTGTGTTGATTAGAGATAATGAGTCATTTTGTTGTTAATTTGTGTATAATATGGAGAAGTTAATGATAACTACCGCTAATATAGAATATATTATGTTATTAATAAAAACTTTCATATTTCCAGTTATTCATCCACATCAATCTAACCAAGTAAGAAACTAAATCATTCCCATCCACCTAACAAATTAAACAAAAAACTGGATCATATCCCTAAAAAATTAGATCATCATAGCTACTCAAACTTGACAATCAACCATTAATCTGGATCATAATTCCTGGTCATGGCTTATCCCTTTTGAAAATTTTGTTAATAGCTAGTCCCTAGTTACTTCTGTTAAGATTGTTCTCAGATACGTTACAATGAGCATTCACATCGATCTACTCAAACAAGTACCACCATAATACCTGGGGTTGATTGTCTTATACCAAAAACTCTTATGGTTTTGTGCAACTTGAACCATAATACCCTGTATTTTATATAATTTAATATGTTTTTTTATGCAGGTGTTAAGTAATTGGTGCTAAAATCTAGCACTCTATTTTGGAAGAAAAGAAATGAGAGGAATGCATATAACCAGTAGGAATCACTATGAGGTGCTATAGCCTATAGGCTGCAGTATTTTTTAATTACTTAGCTATCTTAAGCATGGCCTATGGTTCCATCTTGGTGTTTATATCTAGCTACTACTATGCAAATATATTACCCTTTTATAGAGAGAGAATTACCAGATGGTTGTGTCAAGAGGTTGAGTATGGCTGATGGTATTGGAGAATTGGGATGAACTGTCTTCCAGTATGCCATCACGTCAGCCGTGCGGTCTGGCACCATCATCGTCATCTTCTTTGCGCTCAACAACTTCCTCCCCTCGCCAACTCCGACCACCATCACCTGTCAACCAACCAACCAACCATCATACATCACTACTGATGTAGCCAAGATGTGTTATTTCAACAAAAGCTTTCATAGATGATTTTTTCAATTTATACACTTAAAAAAAAAACTAAAACACAACTAAACCACCCACTACAATATCACTTGTAGGCTACACGGGCCAATTTCACACCACACTGCAGGTTGCAAACAGGCATGGGTATTACGAATCTCCCCCAAAGATTCTACCATAGGATAACCCAATTCCCGCCACCTACCAGCTTGGCAAGGAACAATCAAGGCATCGTTCAACACACATGTGAACTATGAAAGTATATATAGCCTGTGATAATTTGTGACATATACACAAACATCATATCGTGTAGAGTGTGATTCAAAAAAGTAAATTATTCCTTGCAAAAAGGAAAAGAAGAAAAAATATATCGTGAGTGGGTGAAAAAGCATGGATGTAAGAGCTCAACTTAATGGAGACAACACTTACAAGAATAAATGAGAGGAGTGACAAAAGAGTACTCATTGCTTAGTCTCAGATAATTTTAGCATTGGCTGCTTATAGTTCTTGCTCAATTTGGTCAGGACTAGCACAAGAGGTATTTATAGGCTAGCATCGCTATCACGATCACGTACAATCATCTGCTAAAAAACAAAGAAATTGAGAAATGGTGGCAGGATCTAAAAATTAATTCTGAATTAATTTTCCATGCTGGGGCGCACATGCTTTTTTTACACTGTATATGTATTAAATTCAAATAAAGGAATACCCTGTGAAAACAGTGTAAATCCACTGCAAACTTTAAAAGGTATTACCAAAGTAACTTTTCATAACGTCTATGTATCTTATTATATAAAATTTTACAATGGCGAAAGATATAAAATCATCAATTTAAAGTAGTATGGCTAGAAAACTACATGAAATTTAGTAAATTTACACTGTATAAATGTAATACATACATTGTAAAAAAGATGGAAATCCAAAAATGATCAATCAATTGAACATCTAATCTATACCTTCTATAAAACTACAATCCACTAATCACATAAAGCTCAAAATGCAAGCATAACAGTTATTAGTTAACATACAAGTAGATCACACATCAACCCACTAAGCACTAAAAGATCAACATGCATAGTAAATACTAAAACTTAAATGTAACTACATACATTACCTATAAATTATTATTTTTTAAAGCTCAACATATAAAAATGTTAATTCATTATTACTCATATCATTTCCACAATATTTATATCTAAATTCATTCATCATTTCAACATCATTTAATACATATTCATTCATATATCCTGTAGCAAAGCGCGGGGTGTCACCTAGTAACTGCTATACAACAATCACTAGTATTCTCGATTGACAACCTCCTCAATCCAAGCTTCCATCTCGTGGTGCTTGGTCACGCAGTTCATACGAGTGAACGAAAGTGAGTTTTACTATGAACTTAAGGATACTGTGAACGATCTCCTTTCAGAAATCACTCCTGTTGAGAGGCCCTCCTCCTCCCTTTTTTCTCAATATGGAAGAGAGGCAGAAGAGAAATCCAGAGATAGCTCAACTTTTTCATGGAAAAGTTGGGGATCGAATGCAAGATTGAGTCCCTGCTGGATGGAATGGAAACACTAGAAAGATCATAAGAAACCGAGCTCAAAGTGAATCGCAAGAGAACCCCCCATCCCTTAGAAGGATTTGAAGCTGTTTAGACACTCATAGACAAGTAAAATCCAACTCAGGTTCCTCGAGAAGTGAAGTGAACGAGCAAGGTAAAACACAATCAAGTTAGGAAAAGAGTCTTTCATGCCAAGGTGAACATAGATAGGTAGAGTTAGTTTATTTTCCTTAATTACCAGAGAGAAGACTTACATGCCTGTTTGACTCCGCATATATACCCCCATTAAAAAGAGCTCTGCATATAGATATTCGATGACATGTAAATCAACCATTTTTTCCTTTTTGATAATCCTACGGTCTGCTCTTTTCCCTGGGGTGCTGGATATGTTCTTCATTGCTTCCGACAGCAATATTTCAACCTGAGCGGCTTTTCCTTTATATATGTAGGTATTGCAATGAAACATTTGTTCCTAGTAAAATCCCTAATCTAATCTTGCTAGTTAGATCTAGAGACAATGATGAAATTCGTACCACTTAATGTGTTGCTATGAAGACCAGAGGAGCTGTTAAGTTACTCTAGTTAATTTGGCCACAGCCTAATTTGCCATTAGTGTCACATTCACAAACTGCTGATCACAACTGTACTAAATTTTGGCGACTGTCTGGGCATATAACATACAGACAAGTGGTGTAATAAAATGTTTGGCTTGATTCAGTTGTAAAATTGAACCAAACAGTTCCTGAATAAATTGTGCAGCTAACCAACAAACAAGCCCCTCAAGCTTCAACATCATTTTGTTAGGTAGCAGTTATGTTTCGTTTGGATGGTCTCTTGTGTGTTCTGTTTGGAGGAGTTTTTGGCAGCTGTAGTTTTCTTGAAGTCAAAAGCTTGTCTAAACAATATAGCTTTTCATCCAGATTCTTAGAAGATGTAGTTATAGAATCCAGAAAATAAACTAGATTCTCACCAGCTGAATTTCTACTAATAGCTTCATAGAATCTAAAGCTACCTAAACATGCCCTTAGATGATGCCACCAGTGGGAGCTATTCTATTATCCTTTTTAGCTAGATGTGCCATGACTATGGGTTTGTTTAGCCAATCTTAAGGTTTTAGCTAGACGATGAAATCTGTTTGTTGAATAATTTTCTATGTAGTATGTTTGTTTCTTATTTTGAAAGAAATGTATGGCATGGTTCCTATAACTTTAAATTTTTAATGTATAATGTCATTGACTTTTGGAGATATGTTTGACTATTCATCTTATATTAAAAAATAACTAATTAGCAAGTGTGAAGAAAATATAAGTTGTGCTTAAAGTAGCTTTAGTAATAAACAAACCACAGTAAATTAAATGATAGCTACGCAATCCTTTTAGTAAGAAGAATTTGATCAAATGTTTTCTCAAGTATAGCAGCATCATATATTAAAAACGTACAGGAGGAATTATAGCACCCGAGGGAGAAAAAGAGGGAGCGAAGGGCTTCCAGCAGTTCAATGGGATTGTAAATACTTTTGGTTTTTTCCTCCTTTCAATTAAATTCCCGCAGTTCTTCTGCCGTCGTTTCTGCTTAAAAAAAAAAGGGCTTCCAGCTGAGTTTCATGACAGCGCCATTAATTGATTGTTAGCCCGATAGAGGCTCCACGACAACTCCCAACTAATATCATGAACATTTATGCATACATGATCTGACGATCGGTATGTGCTACTGACTTGGAAGGTATAGAAGGTTTGGTATGGATCGACCATTAATAACACGTTGGCCATATTATTAATTAGTTGATGACCTCAACGGTATCTAAAATTTAAAGTGTGACTTTCAAATACAGGAAGTTAGCTAGATGGCATGTATGCCATTAAAATTCTGTTTGTCACTCCCCTTTAAAAGAAATTGTTTGTCACAAATAGACAGTTCCTATTTCGAACTAACACACAAATATGCAACTGGGTGACAAATGTGCCCCTACTTTCGTCTGTTCAAATGATCTGGGTTTGAACAATGATTTTTGTTTGTGTACTTAACCAGGAAAACATCCTCTCAAAATAAGAAAAATATTGTTGGGAGGAAGGTGTAGTATAGTCTATTCATGATATTTTACTAGAATTAATTTTACGATCCATCTATTTTACTAGAAATTAATTTACTCACATTGTTTAATTGAAAAGACATTATCCAATATAATGTTTTGGAATAGCTTAAAATTTATCCAAGCAAATATATATGGACAAAAGGGTCCAGTTTGAGTTTTAGCAAATGTATTTTGAAGCGTATTTTGACTTGTGTTTAGGGTAGGACACATGCCTCGGGAGATTTGTCATCCAATGGACAATGACACATTCTCCCTGGGTTTGGAATAATAAGCATGACATACTTGTGCCAAGTGAATTTTTAGAGGCTTATTTAGGATCGAGAGATGTTCCTTTGAAATCTTTTTTTTTCTTATAACCTGAGGAGATCCAAGGTGACAAGTCGGCCACCGAATACTGTCGCCACTTCCGGAGCATGGATGATGCGATGGCCGACCTCGGCGAACCTATCACCGAGTGCACGCTAGTCCTCGCACTTTCACGAGGTTTGAATAAAAAGTACAATAATCTGCAAACTGTATTGCCCTTATAGCGTCGCTTCCCCACCTTCCTCGAGGCATGCTCTCAGCTGCTTCTTGCGGAAATCAACAAGGGACAACAGACCACCAGAACCGCCATTGCCTTCGTCGCCTCCACCAACAACGGTTCCGGTGGAGCTGGGTCTGTCGTCACTGCTGCATCCAGCACCACCAACTCCACCTCCGGGAACGGTGGCAACAACTGCAATCACTGCCATGGGTGTGGCAATGGAGATAGCGGCAACGGTGGCACTGCTCAGGCCTCCGAACAAGGTGGCGGCGGCATCCAAGCCACCCACTCAGGCCAACAGGCTGCGGGAGAGTGGCAACTAGTCCCAACACCAAGTCACGCCGTAGCACACCCCTTACAATCCCTGTGCCGATACCATTCAAATATCAGGCCATGCTCTCAGCATGCTGGGCCAGGTGTTGGCGGTCCTTAAATACCAAATGAAACACTGGACGTAGTGGTAGGGTTTGTTACTAACCAATTCCACAAGTGTTGGTAAATATTTGTATGTAGTTGATTATGGATGAAAGTACACCTGCTGTGTAACGAAATTGTCCTCCAAACGTCAGAACATCGTCTCCTACTCCAGCACTAAAGCCGAGTATAGAGCATTTGCAATGTTGTTGTTGGAACATGCTGGCTTCACCAACTTTTGCACGAGCTGCATTCACATCCCACTCGAACCACTTTGGTCTATTGTGACAACATCACTGCAGTTCAGCACCAGCACATCAAGCACGTCGAGATTGATCTCCATTTTGTCCATGGTTGTGTGACTACTCGCACTATTCAAGTTCTACATGTGTGAACTACATCCCAGTATGCTGATATATTCACAAAAGGGTTGCCGACTGATGTCTTCTTTGAGTTTCGGTCTAGTCTCAATGTCCAGCCTGTTGACGTTGCGATTGCCGGGGGTGTTAGCATATCTCATGTATATCGCATGTTTTCTTTCTTTTGGCCAGTCCTCCCAATATCCCTCCCAGGCATGTTTCTATAAACTGGTTGAGTAGGATACTAGGATAAGGATGATTATGTGCCTATATGTACTCGGCGTTGTGATCAATCGATATTGTGTTGAGTCCATCAATCTAAGAGTCTGTTGGGCCACTCCTCTCAGGCTCTCACGATGCCTGCGCCTGCACACGCTCTTGCACTTGACGTGGCCGATCTCACATCAGTCATGGAACACCAATCTATGGAGCTTGCATGATTGTGACGACACCTGATCTCTATCTGCAACTCTGTGTCTCCATTTTCTCATCCTGGATCCAATGGGTGGCGGTGAGAACATTGGGGATATTATGGAATAAGTTCACCGGAGGTCCCTCAATTTAACACCAA